GCGGCGGCGGCGGCTACCGGCCGGAGCTGACCAGCTCAAAGGCGCTGACCCTTCGGCTGGCTCGGTCTTCCTCCGCGGCCGACCTCCGCGGCCCGTTTGCCACCTTCCCTCCTCTTCCTCCTCCTTCCTCCGCGCCGCACCGGGCGCCGACTTCCACGCCCCCCCCCCCACCTTCTTCTTCCAATGCCCGCAAAGCCATCCGACTCGCACCCGGACGGCTCTTCCACCACAGAGCTCGCATGCAAGGCACATCCCGCCGCCACTCCTCCTCCTCCTCCTCCTCCTGCGGCCTCTTGAAAGCAAACCCTCCCCCCCCCCCCACTTTCCCCAATCTCTCCGACACCCTCTCCCCGTCCTCCTCCTCCTCCTCCTCCTGCACGGTCCTCTTGCTAACCCCCCCTCTCCCTCCACCCGCTTCTGACATGTAAACCTACCGGCTCCGAATCCCAAGCGAAGCTGTTTCCGTCTCCTCCGCTCCGCTTCTTCATTTCTGGGCGCCCCGACCCAACCTCCGTTCCCATTTGCCAAGGCAAACAGAAGTGCAGCAGCAGCGGCGGCAGGAGTTCGGGTTGTCACCCCCCCCTTGCCAGCCCGAAGGAAGGAGGGAGGGAGGGAGGCAAAGCGGAGCGGAGCGGGGGGCCTGGTCCTTCCCCTCTCCTCCTCCTCCTCTCCCCTCCCTCCCTCCTCCCTTGCAACTTTTCAGCGGGGGGGGGGGGGGTGGAGGAGGAGGAGAGACTCTTGCCAATCTGAGTGCCAAGGCACCGGTTGCGGCGGCGCTGGGCGAGGGCGCGCGAGCTCTGCTGGCCCGAGGACTCTTCGTCTCCCTCCTCCTCCTCCTCCTCCTTTCCCCTCCTCCTCTCGCCAGGTAGTCGCCAGCAGCCAGCCGGATCGCGGCGCCTGGACAACCGGCGCCCCGCTTCCTGCCTTTGGCTTGGCGCGCACCCCGGGCTTACCTTCGGGAAAGCGGGAGGCGGCGGGTGGGAAGGCAAAGCCTGGGCGCAGGCGATGCTCGAGTCCGGCTTAGCAAGGCAGAGACGCGGGGCTCTGCCCTCTGGCCCTCCCCCGCGTCATCCCACCAAGAGGCCGGATCCCCGAGCAAAGACCCCCGGCAAAGCGGGCCCATCCGATCCCGCCCCCCGGCCTCTTCTTTGCAGACGCTCCGAAGGCGGGGTGTGTGTGGCTCTTGCGGGGCGCCTCTTTGCGCAGGCCAGGGGAGTTGGGCAGCTCGCCCCCGGCTGGAGGCGGCCTCCGCGGCCTCTGGGCTGCTTTCCCACTCCCGTTGACCCTTTGCTGGCCTCCGCCTCCGAAGAGCCGCTCCAGCTCCGAGCCGCTCCGTTCCCCCTGGCAAGAACAGGGACCGAATTGGGAGGAGAAAGGGAGGGGGAGGCCAACGGAGGACAGCTCCGGCTCCCGTCGCCTCGCTTGGATTAACCGAGCCTTTTTGGCACCCTCCCGGGAGAGAAAGAATGGCTGGCAACGGCCGGGGAGCCCCGAAAGTTCCCCAAGTTGGAAGGCCGATCCTTCCTTCCTTCCCCTTTCATTTCCCCGTCCTCCTTCCATTGTCCCCCTTTTGTCCCCGGACGGCTCCTTTTCTCTCCCTCCCGCGCATCCATGAAGTTGCCAATAGAAGCCAGATAAGTAGAGAAAGACTTCAATGGAATAGCAGAGAGGCACACAACCAGCCTCCCCTTTTCTCTCTCTCAAAGGGACTGTTTCCTCCCAGTTTTAATTCCTTCTCTTAAGAAAAAGGCCTTGCTCTTGGCAGAGTATCCCAAATGCTTTTACAGATAGGCTCAGGGATCATGAAATAATGGAAGAGGAGGGGGAGGAAGAGAAGGAGGAGGGGGAGGAGGAGGAGGAGGAGAAGAAGAAGAAGAAGAAGAAGAAGAAGAAGAAGAAGAAGAAGAAGAAGAAGAAGAAGAAGAAGAAGAAGAAGAGGAGGAGGAGGAGGAGGAGGAGGAGGAGGAGGAGGAGGAGGAGGAGGAGGAGGAGGAGGAGGAGGAGGAGGAGGACAGCAGGAGGAGGGGAGGAGGAGGAGGAGAAATTATAATCATCATCTCAGATCTTTGGAAAGGACTCAATAGGTAGACAAAAATACCAAATCCAATCTGAACATCTGGCTGACTGTGCAACGAACCAATAACAACAACAATGATAATTGAAATAAAAGGAAAATGAATGTGCATGCTTTTTTTTTCTGCAGACGCACACATGGTTGAAAGTTAGAATGGTGTTAAAAGAAACTCAGTGTCCCTTGGGAGATGGAGAAAGGGAAAGCTGTTTCTCCGAAGGATATGAAGTTAAGCTGGAAGGAAATTCCCCCTATTTCAGTTCAAAATATTGAGCATTGCAGCCATGCTGCTTTATGGAGAAATCACCAGAGATTTTGGAGATCTTTTTAGCCAACCCCGAGGATGGTTACAAGCTGGGATTCTTTACCAGTGGCTTCATGATGGAAACGGAAATTCGCAATCCAAACAAAAATTCGCAATCTACTTTTCAAAGTCACTTTTAGCTGATCTTTCCCACAGTCTCCATCCTCATCCTTGCATTTCCTTGCAAGAAACATTGGGGGTTTGATTCTCCAAAAATGAGTCCAGGTAGACCAAAATCTCCTTTTTTTTTTCTTTTTCAATGAGAGGACTGCTTGGAGAGTAAATAGCTGGCGCATTTGTGGAAGAGGGGTGAGTGGTGGGAGAGACTTAAACATTTTGGCCCGCTAAACTTTCTCTTCAGCCGCTGCCAAGACTGTTTCCCAGCCATGGGAATTGGGCAGTTCTGGTTGGCAGCCTTTGGGATGTTTCACTCTGAAGTTTCTGGGTGGTGACAGGCTGAAGGCTTCATCACTGCGGCCTTCTGTGTAGCTGACATTCAGCAGATCTGTTTTCTGACATTAGAAGATTGGCTCTTTTTAGACGTGCAAGAATATTCTCCTTTTCTTTCCCTCCAGCAACCACCCAAAACTGGAAAAGGACAAAAAAAACAACTAGGCAATTTGGATTTAGAACCAGATGAAAAAAAAAACAGGGAAGGGGAGAGAAGGAAAAGGATACAGGTGGTCCTTGACTTACAGCCATTCATTTAGTGGCTGGTCAACGTTGCAATGGCACGGATTTACAACCGGTCCACACACTTATGGCTATTGCAGCATCTTTGGGGTCATGTGATCAGAATTTGGGCAGTGGGCAGGTATTTATCACAGCTGAAGCATCCCCACGTCATGTGATCCTCATTTGCAATCTTCCCTGTTGAACTCTGTTCAGGCAAACACAATAGGGGAAGCCAGGTTCGCTTAAGGACTGCACGGTTCATGTCATAAGTATGGGGATTGCCTTGCTTAGCAGCAGAAATCCTAGTCTCCACTAGAAATCCTAGTGGTCGTACCTACATACCAATTTGGGGAAAGGAGGCAATGCCAGGGGGAAAAGAGAAAGGATGATAAAATATCACAAAAGGAAGAAGGCAGAAGTCTGGGATAGTGGCAATGTGGACAGGGCCCCCACAGGGGGAAACAGAGGTCTCCACGAGATATGGCCAGGAAAAAAAAATGGTTTAAAAAGACGTCCCACAATTGTGCAATCAAATCTTTCCCGATTATTTAAGATTTAATATACTTAAAAACATATAGAGCTACAATTGCAACATCACAGCTACCATGTTGGAAATTTGGATCACTCCAATGTGGGGGGGATACATATTGCATGCAAGTCCCCCACTCAAACTACAATCTGTAGAGATTCTCAGTCACCCAGGTCATGGTTGTCCCAAAGATGCTTTTCAAGGAGGCAACTGGACTTTTCTTGGTTTTTTTTCCTTGAAGAGGTTTCGCTTCTCATCCAAGAAGCTTCTTCAGCTCTGACAAGATCTTTTAGCTATACAATTTGGGGTGAACTGAATGGTGTAGGAGTAGGAATGGATTTCCAGTGAAAAAATTGCAAGACTACAGGGACCATTTGCACTACTCGGGTGATCCTGAGGACACAGAGAAACCTCCAAGTGCTCCAATGACCCTCTAAAACAGTGATCCCCAACCTTTTTT